ACCACTAACCAAACCACAACATGAATACCTATTTCCAGTGTTGGACGACATGCAAGAGGCAGGAATCACTTGGTTCATCAAGTCAGATGAAGTCAAAGTGGTTGTGTCAACAGTCCTCATACAGAAGACACACTCAAGTACAAGCCTCTCAATGGAAGACATACAACGGATTGTTGAGAAGCAATGTATCGAACTTGGTGAGCCACCGGACCCAGACATTGACCTAGACTCAACACCGATAGCAGCACCAGAACCAGTTGACCCATCGAAAGTCAAATGGTGTATTTGTCAGAACTTCAACGATGTCAATAGAGTATCAGAGGTTGCACCAACACCTCAAGGGGACATCGCAGCAAAGCAACAGCGTTTAGCAGGACATGAGTATATATGCGTACTTGACTTTGCAGCCGGATTCTACGCAATTCCAGTGGAAAAGGAGAGTCAGCCCTACCTATGCTTCTACACAGAAGGCCGAGGATACGAGGCATATTGCCATATGCCAATGGGCATCCAAGGTGCACCATTGTGCTTCAGTGACCTCACAGCGCAAGCATTATATGATATCCTTGTCAAACTATTGATGGAACTATACATCGATGATGGTGCAATAGCGGGAAACAACTTCATTGAACTGTTAAACCGCTTACAAATGTTCTTCATCAGGTGTCGAGAGTGGAACATATCAATATCACCAACAAAGACACAGCTATTCACGAGCGATGTTGTCTTTGGAGGAGCGCGGGTGGGATGCGAGGGCATATGTCCAGACCTGGCAAAGATGGCTGTAGTCGCTGAGTGGCCCATCCCTCAAAACCTCTTAGAGCTGATGCGCTTCTTAGGCCTTACAGGTTACTTCAGATCCCTCATCAAGGACTATGTGCGCATCGCTGCCCCACTTACTGACATGCTACACAACCTAGACAGACTGCCACCCAGTGCAAAAGGAGGAAAGCGCAAGTATAGATAATTCCTACAAGATCACAAGCTCACAACCTTCTGGGAACATCAACACATGCAAGCCCTCCTAAAGCTCAAACAGACTCTTGTAGCCGAACCTGGTGCTCTGAGCACCCAAGTTTGATGAATCACCATTTATCAGTCATTAGTGATGGGTGCAAAGACAGGTTCGGGGCCGTACTCACGCAATGGTTCTCTATACAACACCCATCAGGTGAAACAACGGTCAAGGTGCACCTGATCACATTTGCATCCAAATGAACCTCACCAGCAGAGGAACAGTACAAACCATACTTGTTGGAGTTCGCCGCTCTGAAGTACGCATTCGACCAATTCGGCGCAACCATCTGGGGTTTTCTGGTTGAGATTGAAACAGATTGCATCATGCTGCGAGATACCCTGCTGAACGACAAGTCATCAGTAGTGCATGGTCGGTGGCGAGACGGCATCATTGCATACCAAATCACAGACGTTCGGCACCACTCAGGGGCAAGCAATACAGTGGCAGACACACTTAGTCGTTGAATGTCAGGGTACCCATGCATTGATGGAGATGGCAGCGCATGGTCTGTGAGTGAGGACTGGGAGACTGTACATGGCCTGGTGAATGACTTGTTCCTCATTCAATCGACTAACTCTATCTCCAAACCACTAGCAACAGAACTATGCAACCACTTTAAAGAAGAACCACTCTTTCTTGAAGTCATTGAGGCATTGTGCAACCTCAATAGCAACAAACCGGAATGCGAACATAGACGAGCGCAGCACTGTGCTCTTGGATATGTAGTTGAAGATGGTTGGTTATGGTGTATTGCAGATGGTAAATCGACACACACATGGGCGTGGGTGGAATGTGTAATGCAGGAGGAAGCCATAGCATTAGTGAAAGACGTACATGCCATCAGTGGGCATTGGGGGAGAGATCTCACAAAATTGCAGCTCATGGACCGGATTGCAAGTCCACGTCTGGACCGATCCATCATGAAGGCACTACTCAACCGTCCACAATGCAAGAACTTCAGTTCAACACAGCTACATGCTCTGATGTACCCAATCACACGACATCATCCGTTCGAGTTACTAGTCGCAGACTATCTGTCGCTTCCCAAGGGCAAAGGCAGATATCATAATGTTCTACTCATCCTCAACACATATTCCCAATATGCATGGGGCTTCAAGCTAAAGGTTTATGGCACCGCAAAAACCATGACAACAGGGCTAGAGGCAGTTGCTCACACCTTCCACGCGCCAGAGACATTCATGACAGACGGCGGATCGCACTTCGATAATGGAGACGTATGGGCATGGTGCTTAGTGCACAATACAACGCATCACGTTGTAGCAGCTTATTCCTCATGGATCAATGGACTGGTTGAAAACGCCAATGGGAAGTTACTGGGCCGCTTGAAGCGGCTGTGTAGCCTGGGGTTAGGAGAAGACGAATATGAAGCTGTAAAGGCAGAAGATCTCACTAGAGCATGGCCGGATCATTTCGACACTGCAATCCGTCAACTGAACGAACGACTCATACCAGCATTCAAGTTCTCACTGAAAGAACTCCTCCTTGGACTAGTGGTTAACACCACCCCTACCGTGATTTCAGACGCGAGCATGGCCCCAAGCACAATGGATGTCAATGTCCATATGGCATATGTAGACCAGCAACGGCTGGATGGCACAGGACCACACTGCAGCGCACGCAACAAAGCAGAAAGCCACTTCTGATAAAAAAAAGTAGTGCGATCGCACACAGGTGAGGTCATATTCGAACCAGGACAATTAGTCCAGGTTTATGCAAGCACCATGGATATGACAATGGCAAGTTCAAGGAAACTCGCACCAAGATGGTCCGTGCCCAGGCAAGTCATCTCTAAAGTCAGCAACTCCTATACTCTCACTTCCCTAGAAGGATTCCCCATCAGTGGATTATTCCATGCATGATGTCTCCAACATTTCATCCCACGGGATGGCATAGCATTAGCTGTGCTTCAAACGGCATTGCAAGATGGAGACACCGACAAAGAGACTAATCCAAACAAAAGGTGGTCAACCATTCAAGAGGAACTAGAGGATGCATTGGATTCGGAGGATGAAAGCAGTCAAAGACGACGATGAAGACATGGGGGACAGCTAGACTAACAAGTGCGCCCCAGAGAAACACATTTGGAGAGGGGGCAGATGTAGCGGGGAACGCAGCGCAGGGCTAGGAGCACAACACAGAGGATAGCACGAGGCATAGTACAGGGGTCAGAGCAAGGCAATCAGGAACATAGCGCAAGGATAAGCACGAGGCAGGTGCCAGGGGTCTCAGACATCGGGGGTCTTAGAGTATATACCAACACAAACACGTAGAGACAGACACACAACAACACGTTCCCTTCACCTTCAGAGAGCTAGGCTGGTGGGTCCAGCGTCATAATCTTGGAGCACTATGACTGTACTTTGACGCTATAAAGAGATCATGCAATGAGGCGTGGGCATCTGTGAGCGGATATACAGGAAAATGTATGATCGTTCCTCACCACCTGTGTGTAAAACCGAAGATCATACTAGCTTTTGACTCAATAGCAGAAACACCATCAGGCCTTAGCCCTCTCCTGAATTGCAACTATGAAATTGATCTCACTTACCACTATGATCATATTTGCTGTAGTAATTGCTGTCACAGCTACTGCACAAATCATTTGGTAGTCTATTATGTAATGAGGCACAAGCGAAAGAATAGAGTTTTGTCTTTGAACAAATGGCTAAAGTGGCACAGCGCCTCTTGTCTCTGTGCTACAACGACCATTCGCACTCAGAATTCTCATTGTTCTCGTTTTTATTTCTCCTTCATATCCCGTTAATCACAAACATTCATTATACCAGCTTCTATAAAACTGCATGGCCGACCCATCTAGCGAAGTCTGTCTCGATTTCAATGGAGATGCGTATGCAAACATCCGCAATGACATACACCAAGCAACTGCAGAAACCCAAGACTGCCATCGTCCTATGGCTAACCCAGTCCTGGACTGCAGGTCACAACCAAAGAGTCGATGAATGGAACCAGAACAGAGAACAGGAAATAGCAGATGCAGCAGAAGCTGACCGAGCTCGTGCTAGCGCTGCCGTGGTCCGGTTCAGTCAGGTTCACAGAGGGCTGAGTGTGAACCAATAACTGGACCTAGGTCCGGTTCTACCAGACTCGACAAACCCTGAACTGGACCTTTGTGAATGGTTCAGAATGGTCAGGTCCAGTCATTTTCAGGTTCAAACATGAACCGAACCCAAAAAAATTTACAGTGAGTGAAAAAAAACATAGACAGGACTTGTACTCATAGCTACACATCTAACAACACAGCTGCTTCCACCTCAACCATTGCAGAAACATGCCCATTCCTATATGCCACCTTCAGCAACTGCAGTGAGCTGAATGTTAATGCTGCAAGTCTATTGCATCTAGGGTTTTAAAGTCCAGTTGCCGAACCAAAAAAAGACCACAACTCAACCGGACCAGGACTTTTGAAAACCGGACCGCGGTTCCGGTTGCTGCAGATTCTAGACACTTCAGTTGCCGGTTGCCTCATGTAGACAAGAAACACAAGACCAGTACAAGACCGGTTGCAACCAGTCTTTGTAGGACCGGTTACCCTATCATAGTCAAGTTGAAGCATGATATACATAAAGCTATTGTAGTAGTATAACAACACGATGAAAATTGAGCACTTGCGACAACTTGAACGATCTCATCCTTGCTATGTTCCCAGTCTGCAATCTCGTTGTCAAGTCGCAGTAGCTCCCTGAATTCCTCAAGCACAACCTCTTCCACAATTGCAGAATTCTCAGCAGCTTGGTCAACTATAGCTGTACGCCATGCAAATTTCAGTACCTGTAACTGTTCAAAGTGTTCAGCACCTAGATGAGAACATCGGTCAGTTGCTGTCTTGCCACCAGCCGAGAAGAGGTGTTCGCAAGGCACAGAGGATGCTGCAATGGCGCACACATCCTTCGCAATGCTAGCAAGGACTGGGTAGACAGTGACATGTTTCTAAAATTCTGAGTCAGTGGAAATTACAGTAGGTGTCTGGGTGACTTACCGACCACCATTCAATAATGTCAGTATCTTTAGAGACATCGTCTGGTATATTGTTAAGGTAGCGTCGAAGTTCTGCACACCACCCAGTGTTGTGCTCGCGCAATGCCTGGTCTACTAACATGTGGTGGTGGCGGTCATAGTCGGAATCAACAGTGGGACCCAAGTCCATATATGAGGGGATGGGAGTGATGGCAGCAGGTGGAGAACTGTGCTTTGAGTACTCCTTCATAGTATTCTCAACTACCTTCAATGCTTCATCATGCCAATCAACAGTGTTTGGATTGCCAGCTGCATATTCGCTTGCCTGTTCTTCTGGACCACCCCACTGCATCTTGATATAAGTCAACTTATAGTAAGGATGGAGTACTGTAACAATGATCATCAGCGACAGTAGCAAGGACATTAAGTAGGAATATAATTGCTTACCGAGTGCAAGGACGTAAACTGGTTTGTCGTCAAACTTCTGATAGTACTTTCCAAGTTTATCAAGCCCTTTTGAATCGCAGTCCTTGTACAGGATATACTGTGATGCTGTAAGCTTTGCTTCCCATGCGGTCTGAAGTTCTTCGATGGCAGGAATTCTGCACCAAAGAGTAGGTTGCTGTTCCGATGAGAAGTACTGTTGAATACTGTTGGCATCCTGCTATGCGGTGAGCAAAGATACTTCATGTGAGTATACTACCAGTGCAAGATACTGCAATGATAGTGCGTGTGTCATTTACACACTCCCAATCAGCCATTGTGAATTTGAAGGCTGTCCATGGTATGTACTTGATGGTCCTGCCTTGACGGCAAATGGTGGTGATTGGCCCGAAAAGTGCATCAGCCATGCCAATAAACATGTTGATAGGCTATATACAGTAGACAGTTGATTAGTATTTTTTTTTAAATGTCATGCTAGAACATGTACCTGCCGGAGCATGTATGCTCGTCCAAGCATCCTGTCTGCTGTCCTCATCTAATGTTGCTATGTAGAGGAATCTTGAGTGGGACCAGAAAACCACATTTTACTTGAAGACTGTTGAAATATTTGATACGCTGTCCTGAGGATTGAATCTTCAATAGATCAGTTAGTAGAGTGCCAACAAGTGAATGTTAGTAGTACTAGTACCTTGATAGCAACTGTCTGCACAGCTGCAATGACATCCAATTCATTAGTGAGTACACGGTTGTGAGCTAGGCTCGGGTCAAACTCCCAGATTGATGTGGCATTCTCAACATTGGCAAGCTGGGTGAAGCCAGACATGACAGCAACTACAGCAAGATTGATGACATGGGCAAGACATGGAAGGTGGTGTCGAGTTGTGTTGAATGAGTAGATTTTGTGGCGATGGAGGATGCTTTCAATCTGCTCACATGCGGTATCATTATTGCTCGTGTTGTCTGCTGTGACACAAAATAGCTGTTAAATGTATGTTAGTATGAAGAGATATAGTAGTAGATTCACGTACTTTTGAGGATTGTCCAGCAATGACGCCCAGCCCGCTCACACAAGCTAACAAAATAGCATCCAAGATTATCTCCAGTGTGGGTGCCAGATATTCCTTTGAATGCGATGACTTGGAAATGAAGTGTCCATTTTCCAGACTCTGGGTCAGTATGAATCCAATGAGCAGTAAGACCAAAGAACACTGCTTTTGTTTGATCAACAGACCAAAGATCTGTGGTAGTTGACACACGGCCAATGTCTGGTTTCTTTATATATAGTAGTCAGCTTCAGCCAGTGTAGTGCGGTGCTGCCCACAGATACAAACAATCCTTACCTGTATATCTAGCTTGAACTTCGAAAAGAACTTCACAAAGGAATCGTGTATGTAGTTGGTAACATTGTGCATTGAGGGAATATCAACCTTAGTGGCAGCTGGTCGCATTGCGACCAAACAGTTTCTAAAACTGGCTTTGTTGACTACAGCTAGAGACTTTGGGCAGTTATCAAATATTAGACGGTCAACTTGAAACATATAGTATTTCTCACTCACTTGGTCATCGCATACAACAAACTCTGCAACAGCATGCAGAACTTCATCTTTTGAGAACTCCTGGGGTATTGCGCCCTGGAACATTATATCCAATTTCTTCTGTCCACCTTTCATTTGTTTCTTTTCCTCTTGCACTGTGTGGATGAATGCACGTGGAATGGCATGGTGGTTTTCACGAATATTCAGCGCCATACACTTCTCTTTATACACTGCATAGTGCCCCCAAATGTGCTGCCAACACGAGGAGTTGCTACCCACATGGAATGTCTTGCAGCAGGCCATGTTTTGCAACAAACTTCATATCCATCCTTTGAATTCCAGGTAAGTTTTAATTGATCTTGGAGATGGCAATTGCTTACTTGCATATCAAACACCAGCGGCCCACTGTCGTTTCTACCTCCCCTGTTGCGCTCACAAACTTTACAGTACATCTATCCGAGAAAATAGTAAGTAGATTATCAGCGCTATTCTTTATTTTGATTTCATCTGGTGCTATGCTAGTATGATCATGTTCTGAGTCACCAGCATCAGTCATTCTGCAACATTTAGATGCTTAGATGCTTCCCAGGAATTGAAGGACAAATTCACTAACATCTTCACCATCCACGGTACTACCTGGCCCACCTCTGTCAATGACATCTGGTTCTTTGGCTTCCTCATCATCTGTGGTGCTATCTTCAAGTTCAACAACCTCGATGGACTTGCTTTTGCGATGTGCTCGGTTGGACTTAGATGCAGCCTTTTTTGTACATGCAGCGGCAACAATGCTATCATCTGAGTCATCTACTAAGTCATTGTCACTAGAGAGAGCAAGTTTCCGCTTTTTAGATTTCTTTGGTGATGGTTTGGATCTTGGTGCCTGTGTTCGAGTCTTGGTGATGCGGGGCTGTGCAGCAGCTTTTTCAGTAGGTTTCTTTGGACGGGTGGATATGCGAGTGCCCGCCATGGTTGGGGGGGACAAGAGATGCATAGTAGACAATGCTGACTTCTTATACATTCAAGGCAGCTGTAGTACACGAGGTGTACATGAGGCTTAGTAAATACATCATGCATGGTAGTATTGATTCAGTCTTTCCCAGTCTTTTCCAGTCCTGGACCAGTTGTGACTGCAACCAGTCTGGACCAACTGCAAGACTGCTTGAGACCACTGGCAACCGGTTTTCGTCAGTCCGGTCCAGGTCTTACCTTGAGGGCCTAAATATAAAGACCAGTTTGGTCCGGTTGTGCTCAAACCAGGGCAAAAAACCAGGACCAGACCGGACTTTAAAACTCTAATTGCATCGCACAGTGGAAGTGATCCCCCTGCTCAAGAAAGCCTGTTCAGAGGGAACAGGTGCTGCCTTGAATTGGCAAATAGTCTTGCACAATGCGTGCAAGTGTAGGGTATTGTAGCAAGTGAAGCTAGTAAATCAATTTAGTAGCGAAAAAAACAAATCAAAAAGATTACTTACTCGCCACCATGCAACGATGTCGTCAGCCTCCTCTAGTGGTGCAGACAGGTACATGGTGAGTTCTTGATGAGGATTATGAGCAAGTTGGTCTGCAGCTTGACATGCCTTGATGGCCTCGCACATCCATGCATCACCGTATACAGTATGTATGTATGTATGTATGTATGTATGTATGTATGTATGTATGTATGTATGTATGTATGTACATTACTTACTAGTATTTTCATGCTTGTTTTGTGTTTGCGCTTGTTCGTTCGCCGCGCGCACAATAGGTGCATTTTTTCATTTTCATTTATATATACATTACTAACAACTTGTCTTTATGACAGCGCTATCACGACAATGACGGCAAGTCAACAACACAACACAACAACAACATGACAACAACGAATGACTACAACTATGATGACGACCCGTTCTCTCACACTCTCGCACTTTGATTATCTCACATCCTTACTCACTGTTTGTATTGATGAGTCCAGTAGAGTAGTTGCTTCTTTTGCAATCCATTTGTTTAAATTTAATTTTACATGTTTGACTTGAGTTAATATAAAAATGAAAAAAAAGCGATTTCTAATATGTTTGGGAAGGTTCTGTGTAACTAGAGGGCTACTGTGGAGCTCTGGAAAGCTCTGTACAGAGCTGTACAGAGATGGGCCTGTCTGTGACAGTGGGACCAAGCTGTGGCTCTGGTGAACTGTACAGACCATTGTGGTTTACTGATGTCTCTCTGACGTGTACGTATCATGCGACACGATTCTATGTATGAGGTTGCTTGCGAAAGTAAATAAGTATATCCGATTGAGAGCTAGGACACGTGGGGTAACGGGTTCGCTCCAGGCTCATTATTGCCCACCGCATGTCACATATGGATCGTGTAGCCGGCAGCATAAGGAACAGGTACAATTTATATAGCTAGTGACTGTGCCGTCCGGTCCACAATAAGCGTAGATCGGGTAGCCGTTGTTAAAATCCGGGGCACATCCGCACTCAACACTGTCTGCGAGCAGCCGTCAGCATACAGTCTGAGGCCCGCACGTCCAGAACTCGCTAGGCTGCAAAGTACTCACTAGGGTCTTTGCAGTGGAAGCCGAATATCTGCAGTGCGGTAGCTGTGACAGCGATTGCTGCGGCAGAAATGATCATAGTATTGAGTGAGATGAATTTCATGGTTGTAATTCAGGAGAGGGCTGAGGCCTGAGGGTGTATTTGCTATTGAGTCGAAAATTAGCATGACCATCGGTTTTATACGTGAGGGGTAATTCATTTTCCTGCGCATCCGCTCGCACGTCCGGATGCTCTGTAGTAACGTAACCGATGCCTATGATCTCTTCAGAGCGTCAAAAGTACAGTCGCAGTGAAAAGTACAGTCGCAGCGTTTCGATATTACGATGCCTCTTAAACATGGACCTATAAGGACTTGATGAAGTTGATCTGGCAAAGCATCTAAATTTAGGTTCACTCGCTGGGATTCGTCACTTGTATGCACTTGCTGGCGAAAGCACTAGATAAGATTAAGAGCTAGGACTCGTCAGGTAACGTGTTTGCTCGAGTCCCATTTCAAACATCACAAGACCCATTTGAACCTTCTATGACGCAGCATGAGGCACAGGGACAATTTCATATGAAATGATCGTGTAGTCAGGTGCACAAATAAACAAGAACTGGAGTCCGCCGTTGTGATCTGCGAGCGACCCACACTCCATACAGTCTGAGGCCCGCACGTCCAGAACTCGCTAGACTGCAAAGTACTCACTAGTGTGGGCGCAGGGGTGGCCGATGATTTGTGCAGTAGTTGTGACAGCGGTTACTACGGTAGACATGATCATAGTGGTAGGTGAGATGAATTTCATAGTTGCAATTCCGGAGAGGGGTAAGCCATGACGGTGTTTTTGCTATTGAGTCGAATGCTGATATGACCTTTTATGGGTGGGTGGTGGTTCACTTTCTGTGCATCCGCTCACATATCCGGATACTCTGTGATGTAAGTGTTGGACTCCGAACAATCCGAATGATGACTTGCGCTGTCCGAAGGATCCGAGATGTCAGTGCGAGCGCAATAAAAGGAGTGATGGACGAACGACGCTTTGACGTTGGTTCGTACCAGTCAAAATATTTCATCTCCCGATCGATTTATTTTTCGTTTCCATCCTACGACACTGGCACTAGGCTTGCGCTAGCTCTGCATAATTTATGAAAAGCTAGTCAAAATATACTGAGTTTAAAGGGGGGGGAAAGAGTCTTTTTAATTGGCTAATTTGTCTACTTTATACAACATTATCGGGAATTATTCGAATTAGATCCAAACTTCCCTAGGTTGCACAGGAGCTTTTTCCTGATGATGAACACCCATCGCATGTCGTATATGGATCGTCTAGCAGGCAGCATGTGGGACAGGTACAATTTATATAGCTAGTGATTGTGCCGGACGGTCCACAATGAGCCCAGATCGGGTAGCCGAAGTTAAAACCCGGGATCCCTCCGCACACGACTTCGTCTGCGAGCAGCCGTAAGCATACAGTCTGAGGCCTGCACGTCCACAACTCGCTAGGCTGCAAAGTACTTACCAGGGTATGCGCAGGGGATGCCGATTATTTGCAGTGCAGTAGCCGTGACAGCGATTGCTGCGGCAGAAATGATCATAGTGTTGAGTGAGATGAATTTCATGGTTGTAATTCAGGAGAGGGCTAAGACCTGATAGTGTGTTTTCTATTGAGTCGAAATATAGTACGATCATCGGTTTTATACGCGAGGGGTAATCCATTTTCCTGTGCATCCGCTCGCATGTCCGGATGCTCTGTAGTAACGTAACAGATGCCCACGCCTCGTAGCATGATCTCTTCAGAGCGTCAAAAGTACAGTCACAGCGTTTCAATATTACGATACTTCTTGAACGTGGACCTGCAAGGACTTGATGAAGTTGATCTGGCAAAGCATCTAAATTTAGGTTCACTCGCTGGGATTCGCCACTTGTATGTAATTGCTGGCGAAAGCAAACAGATCAGATTAAGAGCTAGGACTCGTCAGGTAACGTGTTTGCTCGAGTCCCATTTCAAACATCACAAGACCCATTTGAACCTTCTATGACGCAGCATGAGGCACAGGGACAATTTTCATATGAAGTGATCGTGTAGTCGGGTCCACAAATAAACAAGAACTGGAGTCCGCCGTTGTGATCTGTAAGCAATCCACACTCCATACAGTCTGAGACCCGCACGTCCAGAACTTGCTAGACCGCAAAGTACTCACTAGCGTGGGCGCAGGGGTGGCCGATGATTTGTGCGGTAGCTGTGACAGCGATTACTGCGGCAGACATGATCGTAGTGGTGAGTGAGTGAGATCAATTTCATAGTTGCAATTCAGGAGAGGCCTGAGGCCCGATGGTGCTTTTGCTATTGAGTCGAATGCTGATGTGACCTTTTATATGCGGGTGGTGGTCCACTTTCTGTGCATCCGCTCACATATCCGGATGCTCTGTGATGTAACAGATGCCCACGCCTCGTAGCATGATCTCTTTAGAGCGTCAAAAGCAGTCATAGTGCTCCAAAGTTATGATACCTCTTGACGTGGAACTATAAGAACTCGATGAAGTGAGCTGGCAAATTTGAGCCTATTGAGATTACCCTGGTGTTGTTGGCAGAATGCTGGATTTCTGCCAGTGGCAATTGCCGGCAGTAGGTCGAGGGTGGGTGGCAGAAGTCGGCAGAAGTCGGCAGAATACCAGCATGTCATTCGATCTTTAATGAAGTCCTTAGTATTTCTCAGAACTGCGGCTCAATTGGACAAGTCGGATACTAGCGTTAAGCAGGGGGGGGATATGGTATTACCTACAACGAATCGATCAAAGTCATTGCAATTGGGTATCGCTCACTGGCAGACATTTGTAGTAGAAACAAATGATTTGTAGAGTCAAATGTATTTCGCACGACTGACTATAACACTGGGGTCAGTATGAAGTATGGGTGAATCCGCGAAGCTCTTTCCGGCCCCGATTGTGTGCGTGAGTCTGCACAAGGAAAAGAGAAAGGTGAGCTGCGATGGTTGGCGTCTAGCCTGAGTTTGGTGTCATACAGGTCGATTAGGTCCACAAGAGCGTTGTTAGGTGATTCGAGGCGCACCATTAGAAGTCAAGAAATCTTGAATAGTACACAGGGAACGACTAGTAGAGCTCGACGACGCAGACGTTGTCGAGCAGCTGTAGGTGTGACACTGACCCGGCAAATACCGGACAGTGCTCCCAGGTTGACTTCATCACAAGGACTCACCTAGTGCACACCCTCATATGCACGACCAACGCCAGTGACACTCGTAGTCTGCGTGTCTTACTGACAACCGTGCCAAATTCGACGAACCAACTGTGCACCAGGCGATCTTGTGTACAAAGGTCCAGGTATACTGGAGCTCACCAGGAAACGACGCTGGATCATTGTGGAAAGTAGGCTGCCTGGGACGTAGTAGGTATCTTTGCATCTCTGGGTCTTTCCAATCCCATTCTGACTCTTGCTCCAAGTCATATTCACGCTCACGCTCATATTCGGTTTCCCGTTGCATATTGCACCCTTAGATTCGACCTATCATGCTCGTCCAAACTGTTGATTTTCTTGCCACGACGCGCGCAATCATTCACTCCCATACTATCAGCTCAACTATCCTGGGTCGCCTCCTTCACGATCGCGGATTTCTTTCTTTTTCAGCGATTTGTATTGTTTGTACTACGCAATACAATGGATCTTTAATTATCTTGCTAGACCTCGCGCGCCCTCTTGAGCTCTGCAAGTCCTGAATCCCATCCCCAAACTTCAACCACATGCATGTAAAGCTCAACCCATAGCCAATTTCAATCGGAGCTCGGGTTAATGCGTGTTATGCTGCCAGCTGTGCCGAAGTGGGACGAACCAGAAAATCTACCGGGCGATGGCGTGCAGGTAGAGGCTCTCGTAGTGCGCACCTCGATTTATCGAGTATCACACAGGCTGCCTAGTTATGTTCAATTTTAGCCTCCTTTCCCATTCTGGCTCTTGCTCCCAGTCACATTCACCTCATAGCACGCGCGGCCCATCTCATGCCAGTAGCGAGCTGTCTGCCGGGTCCTCTCGGATATTGGATTCTTCTCGTCGAGCGTTTGTTCGCCATGTTCCGAGGGACGAAGATCTGGAGGATTCTGCGGGCAAATGCGATGGGGACCAACCATGCGAAGGGGGCGACGGATGTCGCACTTGGAGCTCGTATGACTGCACGTTAACAATCGGCAAGCGCGTGAGTAATCCGGTGAACTCGCCGAGAAACCGAGGCGCTAACACTAACCTTTTTCTAAACTAATTGACTCGCCGGACAGACGCACACTCGGACGGATGGACCGCGCAGACTTTCGCCTAGTCCCCCACTTACTCCCCGCATTTCGGTATGAAAAATACTCAGTGCTAGTCTGATTGCTGTCCAGCGCTCGGCTGTATGCGCTTGCCTTAGCCATGAATGCCGGTGAGTAATCTTTCTAAGGCGCCTTGCCAGCTCAACGTCATTGAGTTCTTATAGGTCCACGTCAAGAGGCATTATAGCCTTGGCGCACTATGACTGTACTTTGACGCTCTAAAGAGATCATGTTACGAGGCGTGGGCATCTGTGAGCGGATATACAGGAAAATGTATGATCGTTCCTGTATAAAACTGAAGATCATACTAGCTTTCGACTCAATAGCAGAAACACCATCAGGCCTTAGCCCTCTCCTGAATTGCAACTATGAAATTGATCTCACTTACCACTATGATCATGTCTGCCGCAACAATCGCTGTTACAGCTACCGCGCAAATCATCGGCCACCCCTGCGCCCACGCTGGTGAGTACTTTGCAGTCTAGCGAGTTCTGGACGTGCAGGCCTCAGACTGTATGCTTACGGCTGCTCTCAGACAGCGCAGAGTGTGGATCGCTCGCAGATCACAACGGCGGACTCCAGTTCTTGTTTTTTTGTGGACCTGACTACACAAAACACGTTACCTAACAAGTCCTAGCTCTTAATCTGATCTGTTTGCTTTGCCAGCAAGTACATACAAGTGACGAATCCCAGCGAGTGATCCCAAACTCAGACGCTTTGCCAGATCAACTTCATCAAGTCCTTATAGGTCCACGTTCAAGGTGTGTCATAACCTTAGGTCCGAAGACTGAAGTTCCGAGGAAAGTTGGTGAGAACATGCGCCGGTGAAAGAGGGACTTCCACCTAAGAGGAGCCACGAGGACTTTCCGACGACTGTGCGTGACATTGGGGTTCTGAGTGGTAAGCTATGGCCTTATTATCTTTTGGTTCAAGGTGACAATATGAGCTACAGGACCAAAATTGATGCCGTATTGCAAGCTTATCATGTCTAGTCAGTCCCTAGTGAATTAGAGGCACGTCGTCGAGTGTTTGTCCAGTTCATTGGTGTCGCAAGGTTGTATCCTCCTTATTTCTACGACATCTATCGTTCTTGTTGTTCTTCGTGTCCAGCTGATGGCACATCGATAGCGTGTTATTCTTTACTAAGGCGCATTGACTCATTCCATCCTTAAACTCGAACAGACCTCTCAGGCAAGTCTCGGGGACATCTTCAACAAGGCGAGCTGCCGAAGAAAGGCTCTCGCTCAGAGTTGCGGAATGTACTACAAGACACTTCCCGCATGCTATCCGTTGGATGGTTTTGATGGACGGTAGGTATAATACACGATGAGAAAAATCAGGGAACTCGTATACGCTGCAGCGGGCGTCTTCCTAAAGCACTTCTAAGGTGGGCGACCATTGGTGAAGCGTCAGGGAAGCCGCACCTGAGGGTGGAGAAGACCTATTTGCGTCGTCTTCTGTGTTTGACGAGTGTCTGCAGGAGAATAGGAATGTGCCGCCACGTGCGCAGGACGGTGAGGTGCGGGAGGCTGTAGGTCTAGACGAGGAGAACCTGCGGGAGACTAGACTGTGTCATTGGGGAAACAGATTATAGTTCCTGTTTGCATCGAGCCAGGATTCTGCAACCTGAAACAGGAGCATGTTCTTGGCAGGGCTTTTTCATTGGCCGGTTGAGTTCCTTTATCGTACCAGAAACGGCTCAGCTTTGGAGAGTTCCGAACCGATGGTTATGTTTGTCGAACCTTCGATGACGATAGCTTTTGCGCGATTTGATGGATAGTGGTCATGATGGTGCTGCAGACCTCGCTCAGGAAGGAAAGCGAGCAAACAACAAACGAAAAACAAATGATTCATTTATAGGAATTGCGTCAATAAAAATCTACAAAGAACTTCGTTTTGAGCAGGCAACGACATTTTCACAAAGCCCCAAAGACGTTGAACATACTAAGACATCCAGTGCAATATATACATTGTAAGCCTTGCTTCTTCCATTGCGTGTGGTTCGATCTTCGTTCACAGGTCATTGGGGTCCCTGTCTCTCAGAACTTCATGTCCTGTTGCCAACGCAAGCCGGGAGAGTGCAAGTCCTGAACGCGGAACGTTGGGCAACTGGGGCTCTTACCATGTATCTTAAGTCGTTTCGACCTTGGTGTTTGATCGGAATCGACGTGTATGATTAGGTTTGTTGTACAGGCTTACTATAGTCACTGCGTTTAGCTGAAGTCGAAAGGTGAAGAAGATCAACGACTTTACTAATGGGAGAACCAATCGAAGTGAAACACGTTGACTCGTTGATCTTCGGAACGTGAAAGAAGTAAAGTTCAAGCTTTGTGAAGTACTTTGCGTGCTGAAGACTGCACACTTGTTATCGCCAGTTGGGGGGGTTCGGTTTTGATCGGCTTTAGCCGAGCAATGGTTTGAAGGTCTCCGAATTGTGAAGGGAGTCGATTCACGAGTTCGACTCCGAATCGTTATTTCTTAATATTTACTTCCCTCTATGTCCCCATCCGACCAACACTGTCCTGATGTCGGACTTTCTCGCTCTCAGGCTTGTACATACGGTATCTCAAGAAGGTTTCCTTCAAAGTAAAAGACTCTTCAAGTTTGGTCAACGCAGTGTTCGCCTCTTATTGGCTGAGATATTCATCAGCCAAGCGCTGATCATGTCTCCTACCTGTGAGTCAGTGACCGAATTAGAGCCTTCGCCATGCATATGAGTCAAGCTTACCCACTAGGTATTCCGTGGCCTTACCATGAGAGCCGTGATACAGAAATCCATCTGACCCAAATTTTACAACTCCGGCACCTGAACCAACTAAATAAAACACCCATTTGGGCACCACGCTAGCATTATTGATGCGGTGGGAAAGCACAAGTCAACTGATCATGAGTAGTCTATTATCAGAATGACTGATAGCTGATTATGCGTTCACGTCCTAGCCTTCTGCCGTTGATTCACAAGATGTAAGATAAGAATTCTCTTATTCGTTCAGTGCTTTTAAAGGTCACATCCAGTTTCATTTATATCTGGACGCCCGTACCACACTCGCCTTCACCTTCTCCTGGTGTACGGACATGACTTCAGAGGACCTTCATGCAATCTCTGCCGACTGGCTCAAAAGTTTAGAGAACGCGTCGTCCACCGGAGATGTTAAGTCATTTGTGAGCCATTTCCTTTCGGACGGGTGGTTCAGAGGTCAGCATTTGGTCCAAGCACCTGAGCCGCACTAACAAGTACTCTCAGATCTTCTTTGTTTTTCCTGGGATTTCAGAACGCTATCAGGATCAGAAAAAATCTGCGGATTTCTCTCGGAGATGGTTGATGGAAGGTCGCGACTTGAGTATTCTGGTCTTTGTGACTTCAAGCTAGACGATCACACCGCCAATGCCCCTTCACCATTCAAATTACCAGGTTCGCAAGGGATTGAAGGAGTACAAGGTGCTTTCACCTTCAGCATTACAAACCCGGCAGCACTCGGGCGTGCATTCTTCCGTCTCACACAAGATAACGATGGAAACTGGAAGGCATTAACTCTTTTTACCAACATGCAGGACCTCGTGGGGTACGAGGAGTCCTCCACAGACCGACACGGCCTATATGAGGGTCGACAAATTACTTGGGAGGAGGAGATTGAGGCAAAATTCCGTGCTATAGAGGCGGACCCCACTGTGTTAATCGGTGCGCTCTGTGTCTCTTATTCATTGTGACAACCTGACGAGTCATAAAAAGTCGGTGGTGGACAGGCCGGCCTTACATGTGCGGCGCGGTTGGGGAGGTTGGGGATCCGTGCTCTCGTAATCGAGAAAAATACGCGTGTTGGAGACTCCTGGCGACAACGGTATGCACAGAAACAACGATAGTCCTCATTAAATAGACGCGAGATACAGGTACCCGAACCTTACGATGCATACTCCCGCATATCAAAGCTCTAGTATGTCTTATCATCATCTCTCTGTAATATTTGAACTAATTCATAATTTGCACACAGTGCTTTACAATCCATATCCGTAGGTGCATTCGGTAGTTCAAATGTACCGCTTATCTCAGTAATACTAGGACAAACTTCCCCAAGTACATTCCTAAGGGGAAAATTGCCAATTTCCTGGATTCATACGCTGTTAATCAGGAATTATGCATCTGGCTCTCGAGTATCGTCGCCTCAACTCCAGTATACGACTCATCATCGGCAAGATGGACTGTTGGAGTACAGCGGGGAGACCGGAAAGTGATCCTCAATCCAAAGCACCTGGTACTTGCCACAGGATACGGGCAACCTCGTATTCCTACTTGGAATGGAATGCATGATTTTCGAGGGGCATTGTATCATTCCGACTTCCATACAGATGCAGAGCAGTTCCGAGGCGAGCGCGTTGTCGTTGTGGGTGCGGTAAGTCATATATGTACACATTTCATACTTTCGCGCGCTCATGAGCCCGCTAGTGCAATGCTGGTGGGGATATATGTCAAGATTTCATAGCGCATGGTGCCGCTGAGGTGCGTGTATGACTGAAATGTATCAAAGTCGTATTTCATATGACAAACAGGTAACCATTGTCCAAAGAAGCGCCACATGCGTTGTATCCTCTTCTGCAGCAGAGGAAACCAATTACAAGCTGCCTTTCTCTGATAACAACCCTATCGAAGAACTAGATTTCCGCAACAATTCACTGCCTTTATCCTTCCTCCTGCAGCTGAAGAAATCAGGTGGGACACAACACGTGAAGATGTTCGACAAGGAACTCCACGAAGGTTTGCGCAAGGCTGGATTCAACTTAACTTGGGAATCTTCGCCCGGCAGTGGCGAGGTTGGGCTGGAAGGATTTATATATAGCCGTTTTGCATCAGGAACTAGTGCGTTCGGATTTGTTGCTGAGATGAATGTCATTTCAAACACCCTACAGTGCTTGATATAGGCTGTGGTAAGCTAATCATCGAGGGCAAAGTCAAGGTCTGACTCTGTATTCATTGTCGAGGGCCTTATCTGACAGTTGTGACATGCCCGTAGGTGAAGCAAGGCCAAGACATCAGTCACCTCGACAAAGACGGGATCACATTTAAAGATGGCTCTAAACTCTCAGCAGATGTTATCGTCCTAGCGTAAGGCTGGCTCGCTGTTTTTCATCGATCTTTCTTTTTCTCAAGTATGGTGCAGTACAGGAAATGAACCCATCATGAAGGGCACCAGAGCCCTTCTAGGTGACAAGATTACCGAACAACTCCCGCCTGAGGTGTGGGGCCTTGATTCAGAGGGAGAGCTCAACCAGACGTATCGACCCTCTGGACATCAGGGACTTTGGTTCGCTATCGGTCCATTTGAAACCTCGCGATTCTTCAGTAAACACTTGGTGAGCCTTCCTCTATCGGTCCACGCGTCTTTTAATCAATGCGATGATACAGGGTCTCCAGATCTTGGCACGAGAGCTTGGTATAGCATGAGCACTATATTCATGATATAATGCATGTCGGGATGATAGGTATTGACATCCTAACTACCATGGAAGTTGGAAAAATGAGAGACGACCAGTCATGTAGAACAAGATCTCTCTCTCTGCCAATCTGTCGCGTGATTTCATCCTGGCGACTGATACCCAAGACTTGGAATTCGCTCAGGAGTTGGCCATCAAGGACACATTTTGATAAAGGCTTAGACACAGTATCATTGCGCACGATTCTAACAGTTTTTTCTTAGTGACAGAGTCCGACGCAAACACCAAACGACTCACCGGTAGGCTTTTGGATTCAATCCAGCAGTGTGATGCACATTTCTTGTCAACTGCCACCGTGTACGCAGGAAGGTGAGGTGCGGGAGGTTGTAGGTCTAGATCCTGAGGATGGGCGTTTACTAGGCGAGAAAACGCAGTTCGTGTTCGTATCGAACCCAAGGCGTATTCCGCAACAAACGAGCGCACGTTCTTATATAGTAGGAGCGAACAAACTCGACTAGAAACAGAACATCACGGTTCAAGTTGAGTTTGTTCGCTCATGTTTACATATCGTACTGGAATGGATCAGCTTCACTGTGCTCATCGCATATATCACTACGACCTGCGCTGCGCTTCGGACCAATATCGGGTCGAGGGTGGCAGCGATGTGATGATCATTGATCAGTACTAGTGGAGAGAGACATGTCGCATTTATCGAGCCTTGGATAGTGATAGCCGACCAGTGCAATTCATCCGTCCCTGCTCACAGTGCCCCCAAGTTCACGATGACAGCACGCTGGGGCAGCCCGATGAAGTTGATATGACCTTAGTTGGCTTCTGACGCGTTTGACGGATGCATAGAATCTGATGGATGCACATGTAGAAAAAGTGCGGTATTTGCGCGATTTGATGGATGGTGCTGCAGACACCGCTCAAGATGGAAAGCGAGCGACAAAAATGTATAGTTCAACCGCCCGACAAAAAGTATATCATTGCCAGCAACACCATACACGAAAAATCTATAAAGGCCTCTTCACGTTGTCAGTAAGCAGCAACAATCCCTAAAAAATATTCAACGTACCAACCCATCAAGTGTAATATGTACACTGTAAGCTTGTAGCGCACTACCATTGTCGTTGTCTTGATCTTCATTCACAGACCACCGAAATCCCTGTGTTTCAGAACTGTGGCTCGAATACCTGCAGAGGCGGCAGCTCGTAAGTCATATTCTTTTACTCTTGATGCACGAAGTCTGGGTCCGATTCGGAATGTGCAGGTGCTAATGCAAGCCAGGAGCGTGCAAGCGCTGAACGCTGAATGTTGAACAAGCGGAGGTCTCGCCAAATACTTCCGCCATGGTGATTGATTGGGTTGTGTTGTAAGAATGATATATTGACGTCGAAGAAAACGTTAAAAGGTCAATACGGTTGGATTCTGTATAATCCGAACCGATATGCAGCCGTAGTGTGAAGCCGACCTGCACGCCGATGTGCAAGCCGTCGGTCGGACTTGGTAACTGGGTTTGAAGCTGGACGCACTGCAGAGTCGAAGTACAGCTTACCGACGATATTGCGCGTGGTCAACAGCTCTGAGCTCGCACTTCCAACAGATAGGACCCATATTCTTTGGAAAATCAGATTTATAATGATTTCGTTCAGATTTTCACGGTCGCGCAGATGTTTGGGCTGGGACCACGCCTGATCGATGATCCTTAGCGTTCGAGAATATCACGCTAATCTCGTGGTCCACTCCGACAACGCAGCAACCGGCATGACTTCAATTGCTTTCCAGGAGCGCGTGCATGTGTCAACCAGCAGCAATGTGTAGCACGTAAATGCTATGGTTAACCCTCGTCGGTTACTCTGCAGGTAGCGGAAGAATTTTCGTTCACAGTTTTGTCGTGGTACTTATGTGTAAGTTATTTGGTGTTCCGTTCATCGAGTCCAACTAAGATGGCAGGTCAGTCTTCCGAGTCTCTGGACGGTCACAACCACTCCGGTTTTCTACCGCGCCACTCATTTTTTATATGTACTATTTTCTACGACTTTGCTGTATGTCGATCCTTATGCTCTACACGCTCGTAGATTCCACAATATTCTTGTCAAGGGACTTCCGATCACGGTCGGCCGCTTTCGTGCGTCATTCGCCCTGAACACTGTCTAACGTCACTACAGAACCTCGCCGTCCATTCTAAACAACCTCGTTTATCATCCGTGAGCTCTCAACCATCCCAAATTGACGTATAGTCAGACTGGTTATGAGGCTATATTGCGACGAGCACGGCACATTTCATTTCGCATAATATCAAAGGCATGGTCAGAGTCGACAGTAAACACGGTGGTACATGGTATTTACAGAGCGCCAGTCCAAGACTGCCGGATCTGGCCCATGGGTCAAGCTCCACCTGACGCTGAAAGCTCATCGGTGACGGGACCGCCCGTCGGACGCGAGCAAGTCGCAGCCTCTCATTGCGACGACCGCGGCACCACATAATTCTCAACGCATTACCAGAGCAACGCTTAAGGAATAGGGAAACCCCACCCATGTAACAGGTCCCAAACGTCATGGTATGACATTTGTCATATCCGAGAGCTCACCGAAACTTAGCACCGCAATAATGTTCAGCCGCCATCATTATTGATGCAGCCAACAAGTAACGAGAAAAATGTTGCGGTGAGTCCTGACCAGCCCGTATAGTATGACAGTATGAGATAAGAAAGATTGACGCCCCAGTACACACCCTGCTCCGCGATCCTGCCCTGGATCTTAAATGGAGAATTGCGCTGAGAGTTCTAGGCCGTGCATAGCGGTAGCGATATTTATAAGAGTCGACGTTCATTCTCCACAGGGTTTGCCTCGCCTGAAATGGGTGACGACGGTCAAGAAGAATAGAAGAATGAACATGGTATTCATTTCAGAGCGCTGACTCTAACAGAACCGTCTTCAAAGGAGAAGACGTCCGAGGTGTGCTAGGAGGATGCGGGAGGGTGGCGGCCAGTGCAGGGAGCGCATAGAGGCGACAGGTCTGGCGTACTGGCTGCCAAGGGTGAAAGCCTGTGGCAGCACGATCAGGAAGTGGAAGCGGGCAGTGTAAGCGGGCAGCAGCAAGTGCGGGAGAGCGGCATCAGAAGGTGAGACGTGGCAGCAGGTACCCGCCCAGATTCAGATCCAAGGACTATTATTAGTTGGAGTGCAGGCGAGAGGAAGGAACTGATCTTTTGTCATTTCGAGAGCCTTAAATAGGTGGAGCCTGTGCTGAGCCAGCTCCCTACTGGGACTGCCTGCCTCAAAACGTCGTTTGCAATGACGGAATCCCCTATTCCTGTTGCTGGGGTCTTACTTGTCAGGCGGATGTGAGTATGAGTCCTCCGCTTTGCGTCCTGGATTTAACCCCATGACTCACCCTTTGCGCCTTGTACAAATAGCCTCTCACACCATCGGACTTACACATCGTGTCCTGCCAGTATTAACCCTCTCCTGATGAGCTTGGCAGACTGAGTATGTTGCGACAGTGAATCATGTTTACGTTTTCACGTTGGTACAGTAGTTGATCGCACGATATGCAGGTCGTTGCGCAGTTGATCAATATGCTTACTTCTGTACAAACATACCTGCAGCTGCCTCGACCAGACTCTTGAAAAACATTAGCATGAATTACTATGTGGCAATGACAATGAGTAACAGTTGCATCGACAAAAGACAGTCATGTCGCTCGACTTGCGTACATTTTTGCATGAATGCGTAAGAAAACCGGTGCATTCAGTCGACATCGAGGTACGTGTACGTGCATGTCCTTGAAGATGCCAGTGACACTGCTCCTCCTGAGCCACTTGATGAGCGCGAATAATAAATGGATAAGTTCAAACACGATACTACTTACATGACTTATGTAACCTTATTTTGGAGTCCTACCCTCGGTTAGTATTTCGGTGCGACTCGAGTTGGTTGGACGAAGAGGCTTGCATGCGCGCCCGAAAGAGGTATGGTCTCAATACGAAGTCTGGATTCTGGATGAATATATAATGCAGCTATAGCCCGCATCAGCAAAATCACAAATGACTTAACCTGCCTTTTTTGATATTTTCCCGCGATATAAGCCACGAAATGAGCCTGAGTCTCAAAAGACGTGTCAAGGCCACTCGCTTTCTTAAACTGTCTCAATTTGTCTTGTACCGACTTTTCACGTGCGGCACAAAACGAGAAAACTCGCAAAAGGGCAAAAATGTGTCATTCGAATGTCCTAGATATCATCGGAAAAGTGACTGCAGAAGATTCAAAAGATGGAATAAGAGGTAATCAAGCTGGACAAAAAGGCGCATAAATGACAGAGAAAGTCATTAAAAGCTGCATGAAAGGAGGAAAATGCGGTAGAAAAAAGAAAATGACAGTGCAAACCACGACGTAAAAGAGCAAAAGGTACAGATAATACGAGGGGGGGAGAAATTTGCCCTGATTAAATCTGAAAGAAAAATAAAGGATTTAGTAGGATGCTGGCTAGGATAAATCTCGAGTGCAAATTACCAGACATCTTCATGGTCATCCATTTCGTCGTCTGAGTCGATGCTGGCACCAGGCTTCTTCAGGTGCTTGTATGCCATGGATGCTGTCAGGCATGTTGCTTCCGGGCCCTTCTTTTTTGCTGCCCGAACAAATGCGGCAGTTTTCATCCCCCATTTAACGACCGAGAATGCATGCTCCGTTCCCGTCTCCTTGCCAGTAGCCTTGTTGAGCGTCTTTGGTGTCTTGAAACGAGTCTTCCGTGCTGTGGTTGGCATGTCCGCATCCTCCAAATTTTCGATGCTGATGGCATTGTCACTGAGTAGAGAAAATGCATGTTCGAGCTGGAAAACAAATATCAGCCCATCCCAGTCAAAACAGGCATGAGAAATTGACGCACCAAGACAGCACATAATCCAAGAGCTCCAACAAAGCCACCCTGAGCTAGATTATCAGTATCGAGAGCGGGAACATCAGCGTGCCCAAGTGTGCTGAGAGAGATGGGCAGTAGTGAGAAGCTCCAGAACGAAGGCTGAAGGAAGGTTTCATCTTTATCAATTTCGTCAGGATTCGGGTACAGGAATGCATATTGTCAAAGGAAGAGGGTTGAGAGCTCCTTTGCTGAGGTATCTCTGTTTGAGGTGCAAAAGCAACGACGATGGCAAAGCAGTAGATCTGAAATTGCTGCGCCATTCACTGACACGTTGGGTGACCTAAAACTATGAAATTAATTATATTATTCAATAAAACAAAACACAGACTTACAACACCGAAAACTGAACCAGATGTCACAACCTGGTACTTGATGCTTGGATAGACAACCTTGAATATTTCACTGGCACTGCATGAAGAAGGTTCTTGTCAGGGATCGTCCAAGGCTCTTCTTGCGCACCCAGCCAGAGAAAAATGGTCGGTACAAAAACGCGACCCCACTTGGTGTCTTCGTGGCAAGCAGGAGGAAGGTCAGTGTTCAGATATGTTGAGCATGCCTTCAACACAGATTCCACCCAGCTGCTGTCGCTCTTTAGCACCATGGTTGCTGTCTGCTCCTTCTCGGCTTTTACTTTCTTTGAAGGGGGGGCCTTGCTAGATGTGGTAGTGACCAATGTCTACCTCAAAATTAGCGGTGAAAACATGAGACAGGGGGGAAATACCGAAGTTGTGGTGCATGGAGCTTTTTCTACCTTCACTTTGGCTTTGACTGGCTGCTTCGTGACCACTGCCTCAAATTCATCAACATCCATAATCTCTGAGTCCTCGTCGCTGTCGAGTGCTTCAATAACATCCACTGGCGACATCAAGTCATCACTACAATCAGAGAATTCAAGGACATCATCATGGAGAGTCTTCCTCTTGGTCCCAGAGGCGGCTCTATCTTGCCTTTGAGCTAGAGGCGGCAGGCACCAGGTCAGGATCCATTTCCTCTGTAAGTGCAACAACAGACTTGGAAGACGTCAGTACAAGGAGTGTGTTCAACCGCTGACACACCTTCATGGGTACTTTCCCTTTCGTAGCTAGCACAACCTCATGCTCACTTGAGTCATCAAGGTCCTCATCTCCGAATGCTCCAACTAGGGCCGAGTCATCCTCACAAACAGCTGGAAGCTTAGTAGATGGCTGATTCAGGTGAGAATTTAAAGAAGTGGTGGCACTTGACGCAGATTTTTGAGACCTCGATAAAATGGTGGAAGGTGGAGGCTGGGCACTTGCGAATGAATCAGACTGAGAAGCAGGTTGAGCTGGCCAGCTTCTGTGGAATGGTTGTCCTCCAGTTCTGGATACGGCCACCCAGACTTGACTTTGCTCTTGTTTTCCATGAATTGACAAAGAATAGTGTAGATTCAGTGAGCATCAACATTGTGGTTTGAGATTAAAGTGCAACTCACGGTACTAAAGAGTTGCCTTTCTTGTTCGTCTGTGCACATGCTTGATCATCATCAACGACCCCTGATTCCAACATCGTTTTCTTGCGAGCATTGTCAATGGCAGCCTTCAGTGATTGGTATGGTGTGGTTTTCTGTCCTTTCCTCCTTTTCTGAATATCTAAAGTGTCTTCTGAGTCATTGTCGTTGCTAGGCAGGAAGTCTTCATCAATATCCTCTCTGAGGACTGCCGCTTTGCTGCTAATTCCAGCAGCACCAGTGTTACCACTGTCTATATCAGGTCCGCCTTCCTTGCTCGCAACACCTTGACCCTTTTTCTTACCAACAGGTCGAGGACGGGGCTTGACAGCCTTTGGCTTGTTCATCTGCGCCTGGGTCTGGGCTACTTCCATATCCGTCTCCAATGCTGCAAGCCAGGTAAGCCCTGCCACTGCTTCGGCTTCCTTGGCTTCCTGAGCTTCCTGTAAGTGCCTATCATCTGCTGCCTTTGCTGCCTTCATCCGGTGTTTTGGCTGTGCATCAAGCACTATCTGACCAGGGTGAGTGCTGGCATTTTTAGCGCGAGTAACACGCTTCGTAGACTGAGGCATGAAAGGAAACAGTGATTCCGAGCAGCAGAGATGTTTTTTGGTTGAAGAGTGAAGTTTACCACACCAGTGGAAATGAATGTGTAAGTCGGTTCAACGCTGTGCCAAATAAAGAATTGAATGTAATTACTAAGGTTCAAGGTGTACCAGTTGATCGCAGACCACAATGTGGCGGAGGGCATCACACTGGTCATTAGCCCTTGTTCTCTTCATTTTTCTGCTGGTTATCTACATGTCAGAAAATGATCACACGCAAATTCCTCGGCGACAGTTCAATGCTTTCCAAGTCCCTTGTAGAAATGTGGGATGCAAGCGGTACTTCAAGACTACCGCTGGACGTACCAAGCACATCCTTTCTGCCCATCCCATCATGTCTTCCCCACCTTCAGAGGACCATGATAATGGTCTGGCAGACGTAGAGCCTGGTATATTCCAGGACGCTCCTGATGATGCCAATTTCGCGGACTATTTGGGTCCTGCTGCTGAGGAACCAAGATCCTCCCCTCTACCTGACGTACACGTGGAGTTTTTTGGGCCCAGAGATTCACTCTATCGAAATCACCATACCCTTTTGGACGGTGAGTTTGTTTGACTTGTTATTCATCATTCCAGTAGTAGTCTGACCAGCAAGAAGGTCGCCCATGTGACAAGCATGGAAATTTTCTTCCTGACGGCACACCCCCTCCGCCTGCTGAGCCCAGGTCATGCAATGACTGGACCCCATTGAGAAACTGTGTCGAATTCGAAAACAGCCGAGTTTCTCTACATTCAAAACCAGATGTCAGCTAATCAGGCTGACCGTCTGTTAAACCTTTGGGCAACTACACTCCTCAAACACGGCTGATTCACCACCATTTGCAGATCATTGTGACCTTACGCTACCATCAATTCAATTCCTTTGGGGGGGGGGGGGGTGAAGTGGCAGGGTCTCTTCGTGCACATACTCAGATGAGAAGCCTGACGGAAACTACCCACCCTGGATGGATGGGAGTTATGATGTTTGGTACTGAGATCCACGGGAAGTTGTTTGCAACATGTTAGCAAATCCCGCATACTCTGACGAAATGGACTATCGGCCCTATCGTGAATATTCTACTGATGGAGATGAGCGTCAGTTTCGGGATTTCATGTCTGCTGATTGGGCTTGGGACCAGGCAGTAAGTGCTTCATTTTGATTGCGCTAGACTACCAAAACTCCTCGTTCTTCCCTCCCCCTTCTTTTCACTGCGCTAGACTACCAGAATTCTCCCTTTTTACCCCTTGTTCCTTCATTTATTAGGGCGCTAGACTACCAAAACTCTCTGTTCTTCCCTCCCCCTTCTTTTCACCGCACCTAGACTACCAGAACTCTCCATTTTTACCCCTTCATCTTCCACATTGAACATTTATTCAAGACTATCTAACTTCGCCTATTACAGGACATCATTACGGAGGACCCAGAGACACTTGGCTCGATGTTCGTGCCCATCATCCTCATCAGCGATAAAACGATGGTTTCAGTTGCCACCAGAAATAATGAATATTATCCACTCTATGTATCCATAGGAAATGTACAACAACATGTTCAACATGCGCATCGAGATGCAGTAGCTATCATTGGGTTCCTTGCAATGCCCAAAGTAAGGGCTTTATATCTGATCTATCATTGACGTGCTAACACACAGTTTCAACTATCTAGCAATGAAGGAGTATGCTGAAGATCCGAAGTTTCGTGCATTCAGACACCAGTTGTTTCATTCATTGCTCTCCCGCATACTCGAAACCCTTAGGCCAGGGATGACAAAGCCAGAAGTTGCGAAGTTTGGAGATGGGCATTTTGGGTGGGTGATTTATGGCTTGGGGCCTTACATAGCGGATTACGAGGAGCAAGTGCTCCTTGCGTATAGTGAGTCGCTGGTGTCTGAGGTAAGTTTCATTTTGCGTCATTTTCAGGCACCGGGACTAAGTTGATTCTAGATGCTGTGCACATCGTAAAGACCTTGATGCATGCACTCCTTCGATGCCGTGACCACACTGAAGCCCTCGTGACACTGGCACGTATACACAGCTCTGGTTTGAGTTTGGAATAATCAGCAATCTCTGTAAGTCTTTTGCTTCCAC